TGTGTGTGTGTGTGTGTGTGTGAGAGAGAGAGATGGTACTGTTTCAGCAGTCAGCTCCTCTTCTCTCCTCCCATCTGTGGCCAGTGGGCTTACTCCATCACTACCATTTATGAAACAGATGGTTTCCACCAGAGAGAGAGGGAGCAAGGAATAAGACCGAAGGAGAGACGGCAGACAAGGGCCATTATGGAAGCGAGTGAAGAAGAGAGTAAAAGTGTACTGAGACACCAAGTGGACTGATAAAACCACGAGTGTAAGAAACTCCCAGAATACCAAGTGAGAAGCACAGGCTTCTGGGAGATGAGTGCTGTCAACCAATCAAGGAGCTCTGGTCACTGATGGTAACCATGGCAACTGGCCTCCTGAGACATTGTCAGCTGTAATCACAGAGCCAAGTCGCTCAGCAGCTTGTTGCATCTCTGCTTCTGTCTGGTTTTCAATTAGAGTACTGAAAACTGCCTCACTGCCATCTGCCCTGCCTCCTCTCCATGTGCGCTGTGAGTGTATGTGAATGACGGTCTACAGGAAAATGTATTCACAGGTCAAGTGTGTGCGTGTGTGTGCGCATGATGGAGGCTCTTTGTTTTTTGTTTAGCTCGATACATCAGGGTGGCCTGGGTCACTGTGTGCTGAATCTCTCAGCCATGCTGAATGAGAGTTAAGACCTTTCAGTCACGATTACTGAAAGATACTGTACTTTTCAAACATTACCAACTCTATGCTCATGAGAATGTAACACAAACATGATTGAGAAATGGCACTTTTCCTTTATAGAGTACAGTCAGAGTAGGGGAAAAAATACAGCTTCTCTTTTTTAAAATGTTGACCTACCTACTAATTCCTACAGCATCAGTCTGCATATGTAGAGTACCATTTTATGTTATCTGCTTCACACTTGGCTTTTTTATATGGCGTGGGGAAGGGCAGTTTCATAGAATATAAATAAACAGACGAGCAGTGCTCTCCAGCTCTTGGGTCTGAAGATTGTGTCCATTTCTTAACAGGCCTCTGAAATAGCTGACAGGCAATGTATGAAAATGTAACAGCAGTTGAGTAAATCATTCAAACTTATATATGAGCCACACACTTGAACAGTAATAAAGCAAATTCTGTTTCATTTTGAAAATAACACAAACTTTAAAATCTTCACTGCAGATAAACCAGGTAGGATAAAAACAGTTTTCTAACTTCACTCTGCACCATAGACAGTTAATAAAAAGCTCCGCACACAATGTCCAGCACACAAATAATAAAAAAGTGACAGTATATTGTGAAACTGTTTGAGGAGGACTCACTAATGACAAGAAAGAATTCTGAAGTAGCTCCAGAGCATTGGCCAAGCTAGTAGTATCTTGTAGTGTTGTGAACGAGTGGAGTTAGGTCAATAATAGTAATGATACATATATCACAGATGCTGACTGGGGAGGTGTATGGTTGCTGTGTGTGATGTCCTCTGTCGCTGTGCTTGTCCTCACCAGGAACGCCTGCTGCTTTCCATCCTCCCAAAGCACATAGCTGACGAGATGCTTCAGGACATGAAGAAGGAGCCCAGTCAGAAAGAGATGCAGCAGTTCAACACTATGTACATGTACAGACATGAAAATGTCAGGTAACCTAGTGCCTTTGTTAGCTTATGACATTCTGGGTGCTGTTTGACTGTCTGACCTGTTTAACCAACAGGACAAGTTGCTTTGTAGCCGTTGGTGCTCATTGTTGATGTCAATCTTGTCTGGTTGATGTTTTGATCATAGAGTATATGCAGCGAGGTGCTTTGCATAGTGAGGGTCAAGTTATGTACATCCTTGTGAAAGATCCAGAGGCTTGACACCAAATTTGACTACTGATAAACAACTACTGATAAACAAATCCCAACACAAAACTATTTTGTAAATGTGTTAACCCCATTAGAAAATGAACAAGTGTTTATTGAGTCAGCTGAGCAGCCACACCAACCTAACACGTCAAGCTGTTGTAGAGAAATGAGTTGGTTAAGAGATATTCCAAGTCTATCTGAAGTAAATATGAGGCTTCACTGTTTTGCAGTACATTCCAGTGAACGTCTTTTAGGATGAAATTTTTGCTATGGGTTTCCTTGTTGGACTAGATCAGCTCTGAAATGTATTTTTTCCACTGTTGGGAATGAGGCACAAATTAAACACCATACTGCTCTGAAGTTGTAGACTGGTCACAGCTTCAAACTCAGATCAGTAACAATATGACATGGTGAAACTGTGTTTATGGAGGATGCTCAGTATTAATGCACAGTCTTGTGTCTGTCTCAGTATTCTGTTTGCAGACATCGTGGGCTTCACCCAGCTGTCGTCATCCTGCAGCGCTCAGGAGCTGGTCAAACTGCTCAATGAGCTCTTCGCACGCTTTGACAAACTGGCAGCAGTGAGTTTCACACTCTTTTCTAATAACAGTTATTTTATGACATTTACATGTGGGGCCAAAACTGGCATTAATGGCCCTTTCTGTTGTGTATGATGTGTAATGGTCCTCTTCCACATGTCTGATGCCCTAACCATGAAATCCTGTATCAAGATAGATCCCATATCAGTGCTCTCTTTTTCAACACAAATTTAGCATCTGTAAACTTCTGTGTTGAAGTGGTTAAGACACATTTTTCTATGTTTGAAGGTCCCATGCGAGTGGGTGAAGGGAGGCGATTAAACTACCTTAACACAAGGCCTATCAGTACATGAAAAAATACATTTGAATGAGAAGCTTTTAATGGTTAATTTGTTTCTCCACTTGGACTAAATTGTTCTCACATCTGTTTCTCAAACTGGACTTCCTGGATCATAAATCATTCCTCACCAGCACATGTAGCAGCACACCTCTACCACACAGCCTGTGAGCTCATTGGCCTGATTCCTGTCTGAGCACCTGCTAAAGTGCACTTATTGTTAAGCTTGTGAGGGAAGCAACAACTTGCAGGAGCAATTGAATACATCAACCTTATTGCATCCACTAAATCAATCAGATCAGATTTGTCTATCCATAAAAACAATTCCAAAATATTGAAAAGGTCACACATTCCTTTTTTAATTGGAACTGCTGAAGAAGGCAGATGGATAAGGTTGTAGCTATCCCAGTTCTTTCTTTAGCCATTTTCAGACATGACCTGTGGGTAAAATCCGGAGAATTGGCTATGGAGTTTACCCAGAGTTTGCCTTTCACACATGCACAACACAGCAGCAGATACTCTACACAGACATGTTCACACCAGCAATCAATCCTCCACTTTATTTAAGCAAGAGGTGGAGCAGCTGGGTGCAGCAGAAAGTTACATATTTACTCCACTGAGGAGAACACACAGACACAGGCGTTGGCTTTTTTTACCACAAACTCTCTCGACACATTCGTTAGTGTTTTCTATGTGTGTGCAGCTTAAAGGTACAGTGTAGAACGTTGTGATATCTAGTGTTGAAATTACATGTTGCAGCTGAACACCCCTCACTGCACCCTCTCCTTCCAAAAGTGAAAAAAAACCTGTGCTAGCCTTCAGTTGTCATAAAAACTCAAAAGGTGTTTAGTTTGTCCAGTTTGGACTAATGTAAAAAACATGGCGGCCTCCTTAGAGATGTAAATATAAAGTATTTAAATATAAAGGGCCTTTTCTGGGGTAAAGAAAACTACAATTCATACAATTTAGATGAAATGAACTAGTGAAAACATCATGAGGATTATTCTACATTAAATATCTGCCACTAGATCCATGTCACCTAAATCTTACACACCTTATCTACTCTGTCAGAAATATCACCAGCTGAGGATCAAGATCCTGGGAGACTGCTACTACTGTATCTGTGGGCTGCCAGACTACAGGGAGGACCACGCTGCCTGCTCCATCATGATGGGCCTGGCCATGGTGGAGGCCATCTCGTGAGTACAGGGACGAGGGGGTCAGGGGCTGGAGAAAGCAGCTTGAGTTAGGGTCTGCACTGGTTTTAAAAATCGGTGTCAGTTCCACTTTTTGTGTGATGCAGTGGGGCGGTCGCTGATGGACTGATTGACTCTCTGACACTACTGCTGTGAAATAACGTGAACTGATCACTGGTGGATACTGAGGCCACACCACAGATGTGTGCCTGATGTAAATGGTCTGTATTTATATTGTGCTTTTCTTCATATAGTTTTTCCATTTACCCATTCACACGCACATTCATACAGAGCATTTATATGCAGCACACAGCATCCACACACTGCCGGCACAGCTGTCATAGGCAATTTAGGGTTCATCATTCCCAAGGAAACTTTGTCACACGCACTGGGATGAAACCCGCTGCACCTCCCGAGTGTCCCTTGTTGCTCTGAACGAGATATATCAGAGAGGGTGAAAATGTGTTTGTGGTGTCATGGCAGTCAAGGGTTTGAAACAGTCGTCTCCTGCTACTTTTTATTTATTGTTGTTGCTTGTCAAAAACAACCGCAGGTACGTCCGAGAGAAAACCCAGACAGATGTTGACATGCGGGTCGGAGTGCACAGTGGCACAGTCTTGGGAGGAGTGCTGGGTCAGAAACGCTGGCAGTACGATGTCTGGTCCACAGATGTCACTGTGGCTAACAAAATGGAAGCAGGAGGGATACCGGGGTAAGAACAGGCATTTACTCCCATCAGATTTTCAAAAGAAAGTTCCTTCAATCCTCTGTTAGTACAATATGTATATGTGATTAGAGCGTCTATTAGATTCACCATGTTTAAAACCCTCCTGGGACAATATCCTTGACCTTACGGGGACTCTGCCATTTTTGGCAAGTTATAAGCATGCATTTAAACAAATCCTTTTACAGAATTGATCAGATTCACCAAAATCACTGTTTTGCCATGACACATGAAGTTATTCTAACAACAGTACATGCTTACAGTCTATGCTGGGATCTCCCCTAAACCTAAAATGCAAATAAGATTAGAGTCACACCCTGAAGAAATGGATAAGCCAATACTAAGTGGCCATGAAAAAATTGGACTTGTGAATTTTGAGACTAAATAAACACCATACCAAACATGAGAGGAGTGTGTGGGCCATAAAACTAAAATAATTAGCTAAAATTACCTTATTGACATGAATCTTGGTAACTCCAACAGTTTTTAATATAGAAATTCTGATTATTGTTAAATAATAAAACATTCCAAAATAAAACAATATCATGAACATGAATCTCCTTCAACAAACAAATGAAAAACCAATTAAACATGTCAAGTCTGAAAGCCCTTTCTATGTGTGGACCAGTCGTGTCCACATCTCACAGAGCACCATGGAGTGTCTTCACGGCGAGTTTGACGTGGAGCCAGGGAACGGAGGGGACCGCTGCGATTACCTGAGGGAGAGGGGCATCGAGACCTACTTGGTGGTGGTTCCTAAAGGACCTGTGGGAAAGAGTGGCATCAATGGTGTCGTAAGTGAAACCTGCCTCTCAATCACACTGCAGATGTTTGGATATTCCAGTGTTTGTCTCATATTCAGCCAGTTGATGCACATGGATAGTGATGAATTTCAAATTAGTTTTGTTCTTTAAAATTTAATGTAAATGTTCAGGAATGGGAAAAGGAGTAAAAGAAACTTCACCATTTCATAATCACTACTTTGTGTTTGCTTGTTTCACATTAGAAGTTGTCTGTAACCTCCTCCAACGGAAACTCGCCGCTGTTAATCAACACCACAGAGTGTAACGGCAATGCTAACACAGCCTGCACCACACCGGAGGAACCAGAAGAACTGGACACAAGGGTAACAAACGACTTAGGCCTCGTTCAGACTTGGTTTTTAAAATGCATCTCTGATGTGTATCTGGCCACACGCATCACTGACAACCTCTCAATGTGGTCTTCATGATCAGATCTCAATTGCGTCCTCAATGCATCTTGGAAACTTTCTTCCATTCTTCATTTGTATGTTTTTCGGGGACTTCAGGTGGTGAATCCGTCTTTCCCAAACCCTCGGAGAAGACTGCGGCTGCGGGACCTGGCTGAGAGGGTGATTGATGCTCAGGAGAATGAACAGGAGCTCAACAAACTACTCAACGAGGCCCTGCTGGAGAGAGAGACAGTACAGGCGTAAGTGAACCTCCCCCCTCAGCCCTAAGGTGGTCAGAGGAGCTCTCACAGACACACGGACCCAGGATCATACAGTTGACCCATTGTTACACACTAATAAATTAATCAGGGTGGAAACTCACACTAATAGAGTCAAATAGTTAAGGGCTACATATCTTAAATCAGATTGTCATTAC